TTCTTCTTCTTCTTCTTCTTCTTCTTCTTCTTCTTCTTCTTCTTCTTCTTCTTTTTCTTCTTCTTCTTCTTCTTCTTCTTCTTCTTCTTCTTCTCTTTCTTCTAATTCTAATCGTAACATCCCCCTTGGACGCTTATCTTCGTTCGTTACTCCTAGCTTTGGCTGACATCAAGTTGATAAAGCACACCTACGACAGTTAAGTCTGAATATCTGTCCTCACCAACAACTTTGCTTAGCAAACAAGGAACATGCTTAAGTTTAAGGTGCTGTCTCGGATATGTTTCGCAAATTTCGGAAGCATGAAAGTAGCCCTTTTTAGAGCATCTCTTTGGTTGTCTAGTTTTTGTTGTTGTTGCTCCCTTTAATTTTTACTTTAAATTTGTATAGAGTAGATACCATTGTGCAAGGCAGTTGTGTTACACTATAACTCGAAGCAAGATACTAAATCATAAAAACCTTTAAAAAAGAAGGATAGATCTACTCTAATTTGTAACCATGCCACTCCCTATTTTCATAATCGCTAGATCGAAATAATACTGTTGTCTAGGTATTCGGTGTTTGCTGCCAAGTGTTCTTTCTCAAATAATTTACATATCTCAAATGAACGGCCTCCAGAACTTTGCGAATGCATAGCCTTCTTAGCGTTCACGTGGTAGACTGCTGGCCCTGGAAGCTAGCCCATTGCATGGTGACGTAACCTTTTGGCGACTTACGAAAGGAAGACAAAATAGGCCTACAACCAGATCTAATAAATAATAAGGTAATAAATCTGAATAAAACAACATAGTTTTATTACTTAGTATAAGTTGTAACGCTGCCGTGGTGCTCTGTTTTCGTTTTTGCAGAAGTAAAAATTACGCAAGTAGGTCATCCGCCGTCGTCGCCGTGGGCTTGTACCATTTTATAACATAGGATAGGCCCAATACTAATCTAATACAAAACAATAATAATTTTGTTTTGCGTAGATCTACTATTCACGATATTTCATGCAAAAGAGCATTAGCTGAGCCAATCGCAAGTGCTATGTGTCATGTGGTATTGTTGACATTTTCACCACAGCTGGTGCCCGCGCTACTCGAGAGGTAAGTATAAATTAGATTTGCTGCCATGTGGGATTAAACTCGAGTGAGCTGTTGAGCCTGGCATTAGCTTGTTTTGTTTCTGACTCTGGAAGATACTGCTTGAGCCGCCCTGTAAGCTCTGATCATGTCTACAACATATGAAGTGACCCCAGATCCTATTCCTCCTCTCCCTCAACAGGGAAAGAAGATGACTGACCGTGATCCTCTCATCAATCGGACCAACCCAGTGTCTGAAGGAGGCTTTTTCGATGGACTTCTTCGTCCTTGTCTCGCTGAATTGGTTGGCGTCACTCTGTTCGTCTTCATTGGAACTATGTCGGTGAATGGCAACGACACTCTCGGTATTGCCTTGGCACATGGGCTGGCCATAGCATTGTTAGTGATGTCTACTGCTTCCATCAGGTAAGTGGGGAGGAGCTAGGTTGAACATATGATAAAATGTATGTTAATGAAGTAGATCTATTTCGTTTTATATGGAATATGAGTTCCCAGATGGCTTTGAATAATTTACTAACAAATCCCTCCTTATAACATCTCCTATCATGTGTATACCAATCTCATGATATGCTGCATTTTAATAAAAATGCATTTTATTCACCATTTTATATTATAAAGTGAAGAATGAATGTAAGGGATGTTATACTTGATGTGAGATAACATAAATTGTCTCAATCTCTGGTCTTATCATTGCTCCCATCGGGAAATTATCCTCAACCTTTGGGTTTATATTTTTTATCATGTTTTTTATTCAGGCAGACTTGGAAAGAGTAGCAAGTTAGGCTACATTTATAGTTACTTTACTATACAAAAATAGTTTTGAGTCCACAAGTTTTTAAGCTTTTAACATATTTGATGGCCTCAGTTTTATGTCAGCTTGCTCCATTCCCTTTCTACCCGACCAACCCAAACAGCAAATAGTTAATGTTTTTGTTTACGCCTCATAAGAAAAGATAAAGAGTTATTTATCGAGGTAGTAATGCACCATCAGAGTGATTAAAGCAAGTAAAGATTGATCCCCCAAAGGTTTATCATGGAGCATCGAACTTATCAGCCTTGACCTCCAATTGTTTACTGTTGACGGATGGAAATCAGCTTGCCCCAGAGAGTCACGGACAGATTATGAATATCATACTTCTGACCTTTTTTTATTTTTGTTTTGTAAATGAACACCAAATCTCAGTTCTTGACCTTTCTATTAACCCCCAACACTCAGGCTTCTCCTTCATTTCTTTTCTCTCATCTTATGTATTTGAGAATAGTTATAAACATGTACTCAGGAGTTAATCTACATGCTCGAAAGATCAGATAACGTATGTATGTTCTTTTTCTTTGATGATTTAAGCTAAACACTTTTAAAGTGTCATATTTGACATGTTGTAAGAATTGTAAAGTATAAATAAGCTCTTAAAAATGTGATTGATCCTATTTACTTCTTTTCTTCATCATTTCCAATATTTTTCAGAGCAATTTAAGTCAGAGAAATGTATTTTTTGAAATTAGTGATGGTTTTTATAAATGTTTATGACAGTTCTTTCTTTCTACTTTCCTCCACTAGAAATTCATAAGTGAAATCAACATTGCTGATAAAATACAGGGAATAGTGATTTATCTTTTCTCAATTGGGTCTTATTATTTAATCTTCCTTTCATAGATAAATCATTGCCGGTAATCTTGTAACCAATGATACTTAAGAGGTCTCGCATTTTTAATGCACCGTCTTGTGAAAATTTTTAAAATACCTGTAGCTTTAAGATATATTATTATTATCCAAGTGAAGGGGAGTATACCATGATTAAAAGGACGAATTGACTTTTAGAATTTTTTTTGGACTAGGTTTCTTTTCTGGTTGAATAGGAATGTCTCTTGTATTTGTTTTGCTTGCTCTTTTGTTTATTTTGGTTTCTCTTGTTGCTTTCCTTAAAAGATGGGATAAGGAGTCGGAATTTGAATGCTTTGTCTCTGAATGTTATCCCTGTCAATGGCTAAAGACAAGAAGTAGCAGTGCCTTGCTACACTCCCCCCCCCCCCCCTTCCTCCCTCTTATTATACACTCTTCTGTGTAACCTTTGTCCATCCCTGGTTATGCAAGGATGGACTACTCTGGTGATATACTGCGGTGTCATTCAGTTTATTTGCAAGTTTCCAGCATTGCTCATCTCATCTCCCTGTGGTGTAACAGCTGGAGACTTGAATGCTGGTTATGAAGTGCTAAAATCAGAACCACCTTTCGCATGACATGGTTGGTCGAGTATGAAGATTAAAAGTGATATATTCTGAAGGTGGTGGTTCAGATCTGAGTGGAATCTTGTCTTTTTTATAGGCCTCCATGGAATGTATACTCTCCTCTCGGTGTCTTTTCTCTTTGAAAGTGGTCGCGGGAGAAGGGGTATACTTATATTATGCTAATTTTTAGTAGGGATGATCTCTTCTGTTCCAATATCATTTTGAAGGAAAGACTACACCACTCCAGAGATGTTGTACGACAGGTGAGGGGGAGGAGTTTACATGATGGACAAAAGACAGTAGTGGGGAATAGAAAAAGGGACTGAGGAGAGTGTAGTGAAGGTAAAAAAAGAGGGGAAAACAAGCCAAAAATAAAACAGTGCTAGGTGTTAATAGGGAAGGAAGAAATATGAAAATAAGTTGAGATGATGCTTGATTAATTATATGTACATAATTAGCAGTAGGCTTACCGTATGCTTTCACCAGCTTGGGCGACTCGAGAATATTTTACGTAACATCATAATGGCACAAACACCCAAGTGGGTATTTTTTCACCCCTCACCACCCATTTCCCCCCAGTTTCTTCTCTCACATACATGTACACGTATGGCTACTTTCTAGCTAACCCCTTCTCTGTTGTTCTTTCTTATTGTTTTGTTATAATTCCCTTAATGTATAATTTGTGCTTTCATTTACTGAAATTCTCTCTCTCTCTCTCTCTCTCTCTCTCTCTCTCTCTCTCTCTCTCTCTCTCTCTCTCT